TTTTTTTAAAGATTTTATTTATTTATTCATGAGAGACAGAGAGAGAGAGAGGCAGAGGGAGAAGCAGGCTCCCAAGGAGAAGGGAGCCCGATACGGGACTCGATCCCAGGACTCTGGGATCATGACCTGAGCCGAAGGCAGTCGCTTAACCAACTGAGCCACCCAGGCGCCCTGGAGATGCGGAATCTTGACAGAGCACCTACTGGACCTTATTTCAGTAACCATATACTATTTGATAACCCTGAAATAAGTGATTCATACGTGTTTTTTGGTGTGTGTGTGTACTGATTTGGAACTTGGAATGATTGTGTCTCCCCATAGATATAATACAATAAATATTTGTGATTTGTAGTTTCAAGTAGAAGCCTGATGAGGCTTTCCATTTGTCCATAACTTGGTATTCCATTGGCATAGCCATTCCTCTATTAAGGGACTTTTGGATTGTGTCCAGTATTTTCCTGTTATAAGCTGTAATAAATAACCTTGTACATGTGTCATTTCATACACAGAGAATTTAAACTTTCTTTATGATCTTATATGGCTCATTTTTTGTTGTCTTCTTTGTTATGGAGCACTTATAATCTGATTAGTAACCTTATTTTATAAGTAGAAACGGAACAGAAAATTGAAACCAAGGCAAATAATTTTAAGATTAGAGTGAGTCAGTCTTATACTGACATACTTTGGGTGCTTTTTTATTCTTCCATGTATTTGAATTTTCTCAGTGCCTTGGCATTATTTCATTTTAGGAAGGCTTTATAGGCATTGGCTTACATCACTCATTTGATGTTAAGAATGAAAACATTTTGATGTCAGGGGTTGTTCTTTGCTGACTGTTTTTAGTTTTCCACTATATTCTTGGAGTTAAAAAATGAAGTTTTTTCTAGATGCAAATATAAAAATAACTGACATTAACAGATTGAAATTTGAATTTATTCTTTTTAAATTACTAAAGTTAAATGTGTTTGTTGTAACAAAAAAAAATAAACAGTATTTTGATTGTTTCTGTGTTACTGCTTTCCTAATCATCAATGTGAGACAGTGTTAGTTTGAAGGTTAGCCTTCTAAATATTTATTACTGTGTAATACATTTTTTGTATATACTTTAAAGAACACAAATGTACTTTATATAGTATATAAACATCCTCTATATTTAGAAATATGGACTGAGGCATTATTCTAAAATGATAGGATTTAAAGCACAATATGTTTGTTTCAGAAATGAATTGTCCCCTTGAAACATCGATGGCTTTGTCTAAGGGATTTTCAATATATAGTCATATGCAACCTGCAGACTTTGTTGAATTACTTGTAATATGTCAGGATGACCAATTTGTATGGCCTACTTAATGTTTGCATTTATAGCAGATCGCCTTTTTGATTCATGTTTCACATTTGTTGAAAAGCTACAAAAAGTTTTTAAGAGAAGGGAGAAATGCTGATGCTCCCCCCCTTCTTTACAGTGCTAATCCTGTAAGTTTCTTGTACTCTTAAAATTTGAACTTTAGTTTGTTCTACCAGTTACACGTGAGAACATTCTTATTGAAAACCTAGTCAGTCACAGTAAAATAATAGTCTACTTGGCTTTAAGTTAAGTGACTTACTTAAAGCTTCACGGACACGATTCAATGGGAGCAAGCTGGGTGGGCCATGAGAGGATGTGGTGGTGGACAGCCTTTTTTCGGCATGCCACTTTTTGCACATTTTAGGAGTGTTTTTGTATGGTAGATGTTTAGATGTCCAGCTTAAGCTGTTTTTGAGTGTTAGCTAATAGTGTTGTCAGTACATCTAAACATGTAAATATATCTGTAGAAATAAAAGGGTTTTTTTGGTTAGGGGTAAGAGAAAAATGTATTGTTTTGCTTCCTATCTTAGCGAGCATTCCTGCTAATGAAAGTTTAGAATGGGAGCAGTTAATTCCTTTTAGAATATACAGTATGCTACCTCTTGGGATAATCGTCTTGTAGGAGACTGCTTGTCTCGTACCTGTGCCTGAAATCACTGGAGGAGAGCTAAAGGTTTTAGAGTATGACATGCTTACTAATTTTACTTTCTTTCTTTTTTTTTTTTTTTAAAGATTTTATTTATTTATTTGAGACAGAATGAGAGAGAGAGAGCACATGAGAGGGGGGAGGGTCAGAGGGAGAAGCAGACTCCCTGCCGAGCAGGGAGCCTGATGCGGGACTCGATCCCGGGACTCCAGGATCATGACCTGAGCCGAAGGCAGTCGCTTAACCAACTGAGCCACCCAGGCGCCCTAATTTTACTTTCTTGTGGTTTTGTGTGTGTGTGTGTGTGTGGGGGGGGTCTACGTGTATATTTTTGTGTTTCCTACTTTAGCCTTTCCTCATTACTATTGGCGTTTGATTGTTGTGAGGCAGTTTGATGAACCACCCATACTGTTGTCACTCGTCTTTCTTAGTCCTTTATATGAAAATACACAGTCTGTTTCCCACTCGTAGATATGGAGCCTTAGCAAGTCATTTGACTTCTCGGCATTTTCTATATTAAATTGAACACCAATCCTTCAAAGTTCTATACAACAACTTCTTTTTTTTAAAGATTTTTATTTATTTATTTGACAGAGAGGGACATAGCGAGAGCAGGAACACAAGCAGGGGGAGTGTGAGAGGGAAAAGCAGGCCCTCCGTCGAGCAGGGAGCCCGATGTGGGACTCGATCCCAGGACCCTGGGACCATGACCTGAGCCGAAGGCAGACGCTTAACGACTGAGCCACCCAGGCGCCCTACAACAACTTCTTAATACTCAACTCTATTGGATTAAATATTTGGATATCTAACCTTCAGAAAGTAAATTTGGATATCAAGAGATCTGCATTGCCTTAATGTATTGTGTCTGGTTCTGAATTTTGGGAAGCAGATAGAGTTTGGATAGCAGGGGATTTGTACAAAAAGGTAATCAAATTGATTCAGTTCCTGAATTTAAAGGTTAGAGAATTTAGACACAGAATTTGGATAGCAAGGCACATTTGTATATGAATCTACTTTGTATACATTGAAAAAAGCTATACACAAACATATGATATTGTAGATCAAAAGTTGGAGGAGACGTTAATAGAGCATCTTAACCAACCTCCTGTTTGGTCCTTTCTTAAATAGTCTTCCAGTTTATGCTTGGACATTGAAATTGGTTAGAAGCTGTGTTCTGTCTGGTTTATTGTTCTAAGTGTTAGAGGAGATCCTGGACCATAAGACCAGCCATAAAATGGGAATGGCTAAAAATGTGTCTTGCAAAATTTGAAAAGTGCTATAATTAGATAGATAAAAAATGTGACTGTATTCTAGAAAAATAATAGTGGGGTATTAATGTTGTAGTTAATGTTATTATAATTTTATTATTTAATTTTCTTATCTCCAGTTGTCTCTATTGCCTGCAAAAGTACCAGTTATAGCATAAGGACCTTCAAAGAGATTGAATTAGATTATTTATTTTCTTTTTTGAAAGCTCTTTCCTTTCCTCCTTTGGAAGGTTTGTAGTACTTTGATTCCATCTGAGCCAGAACATTGTCCATTTCCTGTTGCTCATCCTTTGCCTGCTTTCAACACCGGTTTCAGGTTATCCACCTCTTTCTTCATCAAGCCACCCAGCTCCTTCCAGGTCATTTCTAGATCTTTAGCCTCTTCCTGGGCCATCCTTTTCCTTGCATTAATCTTTTGCATTGATTCTTTGACAAAAGCATTATAGGATAGGACCTCTCTGGTGTGATTGATTTGCTGCATGAGCTTCCATATCCTGGGTTCTTCAGCATACTGCACATACAGCATAGACTGTGTGAGCTGATCTGTGTCACTCTTGAAGTTAGATAGGCTTGTTTAATATTGCCAGCTCTTCTCAGAACCTCTGTATATCTTTCCAAACTCTTGAATGTCTTCTCCAGTATGTCTCCCCAGTCCCTGGCTTCGTTGAACATGGCAGAGTCCTTGTTCACTGTTGCCTGATCATTGTACACTGTTCTCTAGTCTTAGAATGGAATAGACTTTCCTGAGGAATTGGAAGTGGTGATGTCTTCTTTGCCCACCCAATCAGGGTGCACCTGTTGAGACACGTTGTGGTAGTTGTATTGGACAAAGTGCAAGGCCTCCTAACAATGGTGAAGGTTGGCGAGGTTTCCTTGTACAGCTATAGCCGACCCATGCTGGGCAAGGGCTCAGAATGGGCTACAGCTCAAATTGAAGCCTTTTTGAGGGAAGGAATTTGCTCATCTGTTTATATCTGTGCCACAGAATCTTGAGCATACTACTATTCCTTTCAAAGTTAAGTTAGAAGTTGGGAAGGGAAGGTAAAGCTAAAATTTTATTCTTTTAAAAATAGTCTATGCAGTATTTTACAAAAATATGTTTCTTTTTGTTGAGCTGGAGACGGGAACAAAATTATGAAGGTAGACTTAGACAACTCAAAGTTAGAACCTCCTTAAAGGTTAAATTTTGTCGTGGCTTTTCCTTTGTAGAAATAAAAGTTCTTATAACTTTGATTGGCTCTTGGTTAATTTACGAGTGGAAGTGATACTACATGTTTAGTCTATAGACTCATTTTTGACCATTTTATGTGGAACCATAATACAATCCAGTGTAGCTGAGTTAAGTGTTTCCTTTTAATTAGGGGACCTAAGAGCAAAGAACAACCAAAAAAGCATTCCATATTCATATGTAAGGGTCTCCTTCACCCCTGATTTTCTCTAATTGTCATCTGGATTGTCTTTCTGTTGTAGTGAATTCATGTACCAATTATTTAGTAACTTCCATAGAAGACCAATTAAAAATTGTCACCTCAGTTCCTACCATGAAATTTTTGAATAGTCTTTTGTGGATTAAAAAAAGCCCATAAGCCTACTTTAAAAAAGAATGCAGTTAGCAATAATTAGTTAGCTTATAGTTAGCTTCTTTGAGAGGAAGGCAATCTGTTACTTATTTTTTGACTATTTCAAATAATGCCCCTATTAGTAGGTTCTTAGTATATATTTGATGTCATGAATAAATAAGAATAATTTCTTTTTAGGGTCCTGATGAAGAAGCTGTTGTGGATCTTGGCAAAACCAGCTCAACTGTGAACACAAAGTTTGAAAAAGAAGAACTAGAAAGTAAGTTTAACTTACGCTTAACAGGATAAATTACTGATGAAAGTTTGTTAGTGTGCTTTAAATTTCACCTACTGTTTGTGGAAACATTTTGTTGTTATGAGGTAGAGCATACATTTGAAAGAACGTTTAACACTTTTCTAAATATAGTTTAAGGAATAATATAGCAAACACCCATGTAACCATACTCATATCTGCAGTTACAGTATTCCTTGATTTCTCTTTGTTGAAAGTATTGATATAACAAAGATTTTAGAATCTGTGTTTTTTTTTTTTTTGGAGAGAGAGAGCATGAGCAGGGAGAGGGGCATGGGGCAGAGGGAGAGGGAGAATCTCAAGGAGGCTTCATGCTCAGTGTGGAGCTTGACGTAGGGCTCAATCTCATGACGCTGAGATCATGACCTGAGCTGAAATCAAGAGTTGGATGCTTAACTGACTGAGCCAACCAGGTGCTCCTAGAATCTATGCTTTTCAGATTTCATTGGTGGTTGCCATTACTTACCTTGGAAATTAAAATACCAAAGTTAAAAAGTCAGTTGATTCTTTTATTTTTTTCATTTCTAGCAGGCTAGGTAATATGTTTTTAGCATTTCAGAATGCCAGACTAATAAGCCACAGTTATTACTAGTCATATAAATGTTCATTTTATAGGTAAGTTACATCAGCCTTTTCAAGTGCTATGATACCTCAGCATAGAATTGTGGAGCAGGTGAATTATATATCAGTCTACGAGGAAGAAGTCCTGGCAAATGGTTTCTTCTCTCTTTTTTTTTTTTTCTTCTGATTGAAATAATTTTTGATTTACAGAAGAGTTGTAAACATAGTACACAGAGTGACCATCGTAAGTTAACGAAAATGAAGAAATTAACATCAGTACAGTTGTATTAACTAGATTAAATTTTGTTCAGATTTCACCGGTTTTCTACTGATGTATGTGTTATGTTCCAGGATCCAGTTGAACAGTTCGAGATCCAATAGTACATTTAGTTGTCTAATCTCCTTAGTCTCCGTTGTGACAGTTTCTTAGTTTTTCCTTGTTTTTCATGACCTTGACATGTTTGAAGAGTAGTGGTTAGTTACTTTGTAGAATGTCTCTAAGTTTGGGTTTGCTTATGTTATCATATGAACAGACTGAGATTATGGATATTTGGGAAGCATACCACGGAGGTTGTGTGCTCTTTTCAGTGTATCCTCTCTGAGGACATGTGATATCAGCGTGACTTATTATTAGTGATTTAACCTTGAACACTTGGTTAGGGTGATGTTCATGGCAAATGTTTTGATAGACTTTTGGGGTCTTCTTGGGAACTACATTTTTAAGTTAAAGCCTTCTGTAAAAGCTGGTACCATATAGGAGCAGTAATCTGTTGCTTTTAAAAAGGAGATGGAAAGAGGCAAATAAGTGTTCTCCATATTTACTTTGTGAGATGGAAGAAAGCCCTGTCTTTTAAAATTGTCTTTAAAAATCTAGGCTTCCTAGGGCTTCTGAAAGGAACCTCAGTTATCTAGAAGCTTATGGTTAGATTCTGTGAATTCCAGGTGCTAGGGAAGTTAAAATGTTTAGCAATAATTTCATCAACTCAGATCACTTAGCATATAATGTTACCTCTCAAATGTGTGCAACCTAGAACGTGAAGAGCAGCATTGGGTATGTTTTTTTTGCTTCCCTTTGTTACCCCAGAGCCTTTAGCTTTGCGTACATGGTACATATCTAAATTTCAGTATTGGGTTTGAGGGAAAGATTATGTTTATCTCAGAGTTTGACTGAATAGCTCTTTGACAGCGTAAAGGTTAAAGAAAAAGGAAAAAAAATCATAACAAAGAACACTAAGGTTGATAAGAAAAGCTAAATAAACAATAAGGCTTGGATTTTCATATTCCTGTTTATTCTTTCTAAATTGGAAACTCCTACAATTTATTTTTACTTTGGTGCATTGCGGCTATGTGCCAGAACCCATTAGTTCTAATTGGAGTACAACTTTGTAATTCCCAGTGCACAGTGATGAGAATTTGCCTCTTTAATTTCCACTTTTCTGTAGTATTTAGAAGAAGATAGTTTCACTAAAATTAAATAGTAATATCACTGAGTTTTGTTTTAATTTTTTTAGTTTTCTTATTGAAATATAATTTATTTAACATAAACTTCATCATTTTAAAGTGTATAGTTAATTTTTTTAAGGTATATTTACTATGTTGTGCAACCATCACCACTCTAATTCTAGAACATTTCCATCATCCTCCCCCCTGCCATGCTATATAATTGATTTTTAATTTTGGGATTTTCTGGTAAAATTAAAAAAAAAATTGGTATTTAATTTCTATAGTTTTTTTTTAATCTAGTGCCTACTGTATACTAGGCAGAGTGCTAGGTATCGGAAGATGTTAAAGCAAGTAATTTTAGTTCATTGTATATCTATAGGTCTAGTTCTCTTTTAGTTTAAATGTAATTATTCAGTTTATTGATATTACTATGTTGGTAACTGAAGCAAGAAATCAGGAGTGTCACCTTTTTCAAACTTAGCTGGGTATGTGTGTTTCGGGCAATTCAGATTTTTTTGCTGCCCTGGATATTTGTAAATGACTGCAGAATCGCCATGAGTATTGATTTTGGGGTTACAACTGAATTTTGGCAAGTTGGCAAATTTGAAAATAAAGAATTCACAAAAAATGAGGATTGAGTCTACTTTCAAATTTCATCTAAAGATGAAGACCTTGAGTTTCTTGAGGTATTTATTTTCTGACCATCTTATGGAATTTGTTAGGAAAAGAATGCCATTAACTACTCATATTTCAGCATGTTACTTTTTAAAGTACCTAAGGGCAAAAAGCAGCTCCGTGCCAGAGGCTTTTGCATAGTTGCAAATTAGTTAAACTTGTAGCCCACCACGCCTTTCACTCCACGTAGCTTAGATAGGAACATTACTTAAACTATTTAAGAAATCAGGTTCATGCCTCAGTATTTGACATAGTGCTGCAGGCTTTCTAGTTCCTTGATTAAGTTTTATTTAGTGGACAAAAGCAGAGAATGCCTTTCATAACCATTTCGTTGGTCACAATACAAATTGAGAATCATGCAACATCAGCAGTAGCTTTTTAATATTCCAGAAGCATATGATAACCTTATTGTATTGCTTTCCCCAACCAGTCTGACAGTTTATGCCCTTTAATTGGAGTATTTGGATCATTTACATTTAATGCAGCTTTCAGTAATTTGGACCTTGCTGATTTGGGATTTCCAAAACTGTAATTAATAAATATTTACAAATATCTGCTTATGAATATATTTAATTATCATTAAAACATATCTCTTAAGGATCTCTGTTAGCTAGGGTTGACATCAAAATGTAGATGGAATAAATTTATGACTGCGTAGTATGATTTCAGAAAGGCCAAGCTCTTCTTTCCCAAAATGCCTTTTTAGCCTTGCCAAAGTAATAATGCTTACATAAGTAACCTGTTTTATCAGTCAGTGGTATTAACCCGTGACATAGCATTCTATTTAGTGTTCTATAAAAGAAAAGAACAGGAAATAGCATTGTTAATTACATGAGCCTAAATATAATTCTTTCTTATCAAAGTAAAATTTGGTATACTTTTGTATATTCTTTCCTTTTTGGAAAGTCAGTAATGTTTCTGAACCTTTGGCTAGGTCATCGAGCTGTCTATATTGGTGTTCACGTCCCATTTAGTAAAGAGAGTCGTCGGCGTCATAGGCATCGTGGACACAAACATCACCACCGAAGAAGAAAAGATAAAGAATCAGATAAAGAAGATGGACGGGAGTCTCCTTCTTATGGTAAGAGAAAACAGTTGTTCTTTGTTAGCACCTTAGAATTCTTTCCTGAAAAGGCTTGTTAAAAAAGTAGAATATTTTCTTTCTTAAATTTTATGTCTGCTATAATTTAGACACATTATGAACCTTGAAAAATATACTAATTGAAGTAATATTTTTTCTCCAAGGAATATACTAATTGAAGTAATAATATTTTTTCTCTATTATATATTTCATTATATGTGGAATGAACAATTACCTGGAATCTTCAGGCTCCTGGATGAGATTAATTTTTTTTCCATTTTTAAACACATTTTTTGGCTAGAAAATTTTATCCACTAAGTTGAACTCCTTGGTTATCTGGGCAAAAAAGTGCTCTGATTTGATAGTACTGTCTGTGAAAGGACAGATTTTTGTTTGAAAGCAGAGAAATACAGAAGTGCCCATAGAAAGAGGAAATCAGAAAGAAAAAAGGCATATTGTAGGGGAAAGAGAATGTTATCTGATAATAAATATTGATAGCACTGATTTAAGTGGCCCTGAGACATGCGAATGGTGAGAGCCAAAAAAAATAGCTGTACAGCCTGAGGAAGACTCTTAGGACATTGCAGTTAGTGGACATATAAGGCATCATTATTTTTTTTTAGGACATCATGGGCCTATATGGCTATCTCTACACCATGTGTTCTAATGTGTGCATTCTAGCAAAGTTACATGAGCTGTACTTACAGGCACTTGTGTGCTATGCTAAAGGAATGTTTTTGTGACGAAGAGGAAAGACTCCTATGGGTCATATAGCTACAACATAAACATAAGAAAATAGTAATATATTAAGTGCCAATTCTATGCTAAGCATTCCACCAAGCCCTTAACATATGCTCTTTGATTTAATTCTCTCTGCACTTTTTATTTTATTTTTTAAAATTTTAATTTTAATTCCAGTTACTTAACATACAGTGTTATATTAGTTTTAGGTGTATGATATAGTGATTCAGCAGTTCCATACAATGCCTGGTGCTCATCACACTGAATGCACTCCTTAATCCCCATCACCTATTACCCATCCACTACCCACTTCCCTTTTGGTAACCATCAGTTTGTTCTCTGTAGTTAAGAATCAGATTCTTGGTTTGTCTTTCACTCTTTTTTTCTCTTTCCTCATTTGTTTTGTTTCTTAAATTCCACAAATGAGTGAAATCATATGGTATTTATTTTTCTCTGACTGACTTATTTTGCTTAGCATTATACTCTAGCTCCATCCATGTCATTGCCAATGGCAAGATCTCATTCTTTTTTATGGCTGAACAATATCCCATTGTATGTATACCTCATCTTCTTTATCCCTCTCTGCATTATTTAAAAGATGGGTATTGTTTTAATTTTGTAGATGGAGACACTTCAGCTTAGACTAAATGTGATGGGAATCTCTTAAAAGCCTGTACTAAGAGATAGTACATGGCCTAGTACACGATGGCCTAGTACAATATTAAGTGGTCACATAATTAACAAAGGTCCTGTAGGTAGCAAAGGAAAAACCAGTACTAATTTCAGAAAGGATCACTTGATGATATTAGGTAATTTAGAACTACTTTGCTCCTCTGTATGATGCATCCATCCAATTTAGGATATTGTCTGCTATTCTGAGTAGATCATTATGTTTCCCAATTGATGTAAATAAAAGGGCACATAATGTTTTTATAGAATGCTATCTACTAAACTAAGTATGGTCACTAGGATAGGTGGTTTGATGTTTCAAGCTACAGTATGACATGTGAAGTCTAAATGTAGTGGTTTGAAGAATTTAGTGGAGGAAATATTTGTGACTTTTTAATGGAATAACTATTCTTAGAAAAGTTTTATGCCACTGAAGTAGGTTTATTTTGATTTTAACTGCCAATATGTATCCAAGAAATTGCTATGAATGATGTCTCTTTTTTCTGGTCCCCACTCTCTAAATGTAGATTACATAGGACTTTTGCTTCTGGTATGATGGAATAACATGAATTTTCCCTCTTATCTTAAACAATTAAAAAAGTTGATTAAATATATAAAACAGTAATTTTCAGGCATTGGACAACACATTGTACCATTCTGACCTCTGAAAGAGGGTAGGCAAGTGAGATGAGCCTTATGCTTGCCTGAGCATATTACCTAGAGACAGTTTCCAGGCCACAGCACAGGGAGGGGAATCTGGAACAGAATCTTGCAGGCTCTTAGAGTTGAGACAGAGGTTGGAATTTGGGAAGGCCAAAGAGGCTAGTCAGGTATGGAGTGCCAGAAGAGTAGAGAGCTATACACAAAGAGGCTTCCAAAGGTCTGAAGAGGGATCCTTTTGAATCTTTGGTTGAGTACTGGTCTGGGCTAAAGGAAACTTCTTGAGGCCTGGGAAATGACCATCAGAAAACAGTAGGCTGAACAGTTCTTGGATATCGTATAAGACTGGGAATAGGGTTTATTCTCATCAGACAGAGAGGAAAGACCTTGACATACAGAGCATTGTGTAGAGTTCTCAGAAGGTTATTGCCTTAATAGTGGGTCTTAATTTTACACTAAAAGCCGCAGTGGATCTGTTCTAAAAATTTTTAAATCACGTCTTAAAAGAATTAGATTAAAGATCATTTCCAGGGTAAAGTATAATACTACTAAAAGATATGTAGTAAAATCCAGCACCTAAGTATATAAAAGTCACAATATCTGGTATCTGCAAATTACTTGAAATATGAAAAGTAGGAAGATATGAGCCATAACTAGGAGAAAAATAAACCAGTAGAAATGCAGAAATGGCAGAGTTGATAGAATTCGAAAGCAAGCATGTTAAAGCAATTATATCTGCTTTGTATGTTCAAGAAGATAGAAGAGAATGTGACTGATGAGCAGAGAAGTTGAAAATATAAGAGAACCCAAATGGAACTTCCAGAGATGAAAAATACAGTCTCTGAAATGAAAAAATACACTAGGTAAGATTAATGGAGGGTTTGACTCTACAGGAAAAAAAAAAAATCAGTGATTTTGAAGACATGGTGATAGACACTACCCAAAGTGAAATAGAAAAGACTGAAATGAATAAATAGAGCATCAGTAATTTGTAGAACAATATCAATTAGTCTAACAAATGTATAATTGTAGTGGCAGAAAGGAGGGTGGCAGAAAAAAATATTTGAAGAAATCAGAGTTTAATTTCTAAATTTAATGAAAACTCTGAACAAATAGGTTCAGGGAGCTCAGCAAAACCCAAGAAGAAACATGAAGATAATCACACAAAAGCACATACAAATTAAATTGCTGAAACCAGGATGTCACAATCCTATATGAAGATGCATGTAATAACAGCTTCAAAATACATAAAGCAGAAGTGATAAAATTGAGAAGAGAGATAAATTTACAGTTGTTGGATAAATTTAGAAAAGTTATAGATTTCAACTCTCTTTTCTCAGTTATGGGTAAAACAAGTTAAGAAAAAAATCAATAAGGATATAGAAGACCTGAATAACATTATCAATTAGATTGATATTCACTGAGTCCTCCACCCACCAATAGTGGAATACACATTTTTTTTTAACGTGTAAATGGAATGTTTCCCACAATAGATTATATTCTAGTCAATAAGCAAGTCTTAATACACTTAAAAGATTGAAAGTATATTCTCTGACTACAATGGAATTAAACTACAAAGATACCAAGAAAAATCCCCAGATAGTTGGAAATTAAACAAGATGCTTCTCAATAACCTCTTGGTTAAAGAAGCAATCACAACAGAAATTAGGAAATATTTTGAGCTCATAAAAATAAAAACACAGTACTGGCAATGATTGAGATAAAATCTTGCAAAGTGAGGACATGCCTTCTGGTGTGCAGGTTCCTTTAGCATGGTACTGTGCAAAGTTAGGACTGCCTATAAATTGAAATTTGTTAGATGCAGCTAAAGCAGTGCATAGAGGAATTTGTAGCATTTAATCCTTATATTAAAAAAGAATGAAGATCTGGAATCAGTGACTTAAGTTTCTAACTTAAGAATCTAGGAGAAAACATAGAACAAATTAAACCAAAGTATGGAAAAGAAAAGAAAAATAAAACCTGAAGCAGAAATGAACAAAATAAAAACCAGAAAAACAATGGCAAAAATCAATTAGACTGAAATCTGATTCTTTGAAAAGATCAGTGAAATTGATAAACTTACATAGCCAGTGTGATTAGGGAGCACAAAGAGATATAAATTACCAGCATCCGAAAATTTCAGTACAGATCCTTACAGGTATTTAAAAGCCTGATGAAGAGTATTATGAATGGTTTTATGCCAACAAAATTGATAATTTAGATGAAATGGGGAAATTCCTTAAGAATACCAAAAAAATTTGATATTACCCTGAATTACCCTATGTGTATAAAGAAATTAAATTTGTAGTCTAAAACATTCCCACAATGACAGTTTACTACCAAATGGCATCATGGATGAATTCAGTCAAACATGTAAGGAAGAAATTATACAGACTGCTAGAAAATTGAAGATGAAGGAACACTTCCCATTTCATTGTTATGAATCCAACATTACCTTGATACCAAAACTAAATGCAGTTGTTACAAGAAAATAAAACTATACATCTCTCATGGATGTAGATTCAGAAATTCTTAACAAACTAAAAACATATTTTATCCTGCAACATCCAAAAAGGATACTATATCATGACTATGGTAGGCAGAATAATGGTTCCCAAGTTGTCTGTCTTCCCAGTGCCCAGAACCTGTGAATGTTAACCTTATAGCAACTTGAATTTATAGATGTGATTAAGTTAATGATTTTGAGATGGGGAGGTTATAGTGGATTATGCAAGTGGGCCAGTTGTAATCACAGGGATCCTTAGTAAGAGGGAGTCAGAAGATCAGAGAGGAAGTAGTTGTGACAACAGAAGCAAATAGTTGTAGTAAGTGGGAGGGGTTCAGACCCAAACAACTTAGGCAGCTTCCAGAAGCTAGAAAAGGTAAGGAAATGGATTTTCCCCTAGAGAAGGAACCAGCCAATGATTTTAGCACTGTAAGACTCATTTTGGACTTCTGATCTCCAGAACTGTATAAGAGAATAAATTTGTGTTTAGGCCACCAAGTTTGTGGTAATTTGTTACAGCAGCAAAAGGATATTAATATAATAACCATGTGGAAAAGCAGGTTTGGTATAAAATTTAACTGTCAGTATAAATAACCACATTAACACTATAAAGGAGAAAACCCATATAATTATCTCAGTGGGTGCAGGAAAAGCCTTGACAAAATTCCACTGCCATTCATGATAAAATTTTCAGCAAAGAAGGAATAAAAGAAAACTTTCTCTACCTGATATATAGCATCTACAAAAACACTTTGTCAACATCACACTTAGTGCTGAAAGATAGAATGCTTTCTCCTTACAATTTGGAGAAAGGCAAGGTTGTCCTCTGCCACTTCTATAGAACATGGTTACTGGAGCACCTGGCTTGTGTGATAAGGCAAGAAAAATTAAAGGCATACAGATTGCGAAGGAAGAAGTAAAACTGTCTTTATTTACAGATACAAGATGATGTATCTAGTAAATCCTAAGCAATCTGTGAAATTACAGAACTAAGTGAGTTTAGAAAGGTTGCAAGATACACAATTAATTATATTTCTGTATATTTCTCTGGTAGCAATGAACAATCAGAAATTGAAATCAAAGATAGCACTCACAGTAGCACCAAAAATATTGCTTGGAGATAAATCTGACAAAAGAATTGCAAGACCTAAATGTTGAAAGGTTCAAAACATCACGAAGTTCAGTCACAGTATGTTTTAGTTTGTCCTGCATAGGTGTCAGGGTAGTCCTTTAATATGAAGACCTATGTGATATACATATTGGAAAATTTTCAAATTTGCTTTTTATTGCTTTTGCCCCTATTCTGTATTTTCTTCTTTCTGGAGTTTTTCCTGTTTGATATTCTGACTTTGTTCTCTACATTTCTGAACCTTTTTTCTTATTTTCTTATTTGTTATTGATGTAGTCTGATTTCTTCAGATCTGTCTTTTCCTTTATTTTTTTATTATTTTTAAATTTCTTTTTAAAAGATTTTTATTTTCGAGAGAGAGAGCGTGCTAGCACAAGCAGGGGTGAGGGGCAGAGGCAGAGGGAGAAGCAGGCTCCCTGCTGAGCAAGGAACCCGATGTGGGACTCCATCCCAAGACCCTGGGATCATGATCTGAGCCTAAGGCAGTCGCTTAACCGACTAAGCCACCCAGGCATCCCTGTCTTTTCCTTTATTAGTTGTTCTACTCTTTAACCTGTTTATTGCATCCGCAAGAGCCTTTAAGTTTGTTTACTTCAGTGTAGATTTTGAGTTTGACTTCATATCTCATATTCAGCAGGATTTGATTTTGTTTTCAATTGATGCTTGTGGTTGTTTGCTTGTCCTAGGGCTATCAACTGTCCTGGACTAGAATTTATACTAATTTTTTTTTTTTTTTTAAGATTTTATTTATTTATTTGAGACAGAGAGAATGAGAGAGACAGAGAGCACATGAGAGGGGGGAGGGTCAGAGGGAGAAGCAGGCTCCCTGCCGAGCAGGGAGCCCGATGCAGGACTCGATCCAGGGACTCCAGGATCATGACCTGAGCCGAAGGCAGTCGCTTAACCAACTGAGCCACCCAGGCGCCCGAATTTATACTAATTTTTCAAGGGACCCTATACTGTATAGGTAGGTAGTTTAAATTCAGGTGCCATGAGTGTGGGGATTCTGTTTCATAACAGTGATTTATCCTGCCTCTCTAACCTTAGCTGACAGAGTTTTGCTTCTCTGTGATAGTATAAAAAGGCAGTTTCTGTATACCCCTTGCATTGCTTTTTCTCATCATTTTTTGGAAGTTGGGAGAATTTCCTTTCTCAGTTTTGAACTTAGCTACATATTAATTACATATTTTTAAAATTTCTGTTTTGTCCAACATTTTCTTACATTTTTAGTGAGAAAAAAGTCCTATCTTTGAGTATAGTGTTCCATGTTTTCAGATATTGCATATTTTTATTTGTTTTTACATCAGTTAGTTATAAGATTAGTTTCATTTATTTTTTTAATTTATTTATTTTTTAAAGATTTTATTTTTAAGTAATCTCTGCACCCAGTATGGGGCTCAAACTTACAGCCCCGAGATCAAGAGTCACATGCTCTACTGACTGAGCCAGCCAGGCACCCCTCACTTGTTTAACATATAATTGTTCTTTTTTGTCTGTGGAGGTGATCTCTCTGTGATACTCTTTGTTTCTGGATTGTTGGTCCTTGTTTTCTTCCAGATTTATAGTATTTTAATAAAAGAGTTTTGATGGAATGTATTTATAACAAAAGCATCTCACTTTCAAACTGAATTTATCTTTGAATGAATTGTGGCAGTTTTTGAGTGTATTTAAATTCTTTTGTCAAGACACACCATCCCAAAGAGTTCAGTTCATTCTTGGTACTGAAGATGATGATGAAGAGCACATTCCTCATGATCTCTTTACGGAAATGGATGAACTGTGTTATAGAGATGGAGAAGAGTATGAGTGGAAAGAAACTGCCAGGTAATAATACTGAGTCTCAGTATTTAGTTGGCTTTTCTTGATTTTTTTCTTGTATTGTAAATATAATGAATTTATGAGTTACCGGGTACTTTAAAATAATGAGGAGAGAATTTCCTCTTGTCTGGAAGCTTCAGCTTTAGTTTATCTCTTTATTCTCAAAATTCATTTTCTTAAGTAATCCTTACCACTTTAACATAGCATAGAAGGAATTATGTTAATTATATGTTTTAATGTCTTTAGAGAAATAAATTTCAAAAATCAAGGTCCTGCTACATATTTTCAATTTAAAAGAGGATTAGCAGTGGAAATCACGAAGTTCCATAGTGTGTCTTTGTAGACTTATTATTATGATAGCTAGAATAGAATGAGGAACTGCAGAGGTGGTAACTTGTGAGTAGAGTGGGCCATTAGTTTGATTTGTAAAAATGATTGTAGCCAAATTTTGTGTTGGTAGTGGTGATCTTTGTTTCTCTTTAAAAGAACAAGTGTATGTTTATCATATTAAAATAAGCAAATGAAATCTTCATTATTTACAAAATATTTTTATGTGTTATACATTTCAGGTGGCTGAAATTTGAAGAGGATGTTGAAGATGGCGGTGACCGATGGAGTAAACCTTATGTGGCAACTCTCTCTTTGCACAGTCTTTTTGAACTAAGAAGTTGCATCCTAAATGGAACAGTGATGCTGGACATGAGAGCAAGCACCCTAGATGAAATAGCAGGTTCTAGCAGTTTGACTTTTTTAATATTTGTACTGAAATTAGAGATATTTAAATAAGGAAAATGAGGTGGTTTTTTAGACCGTTGACTTAACTGCTCTGTGTTGAACTTCCATCGTCTGTAGGACAGTATGAGGAGTACTTTTTGTCTTTAATAAATTTAAAGTCTAGAAGATTAAGCTAGACAGACACAACTACAGTACCAAAACGAAAGTGACTAATGCCATAAGCAAGATATGCAGTCTGTTTCTGGAAATGTAGAGAAAAGAGCTTTTTGTTTCTTCAGTTTCTGGACCAAGGTATCTGGGGAAGGTCCACAAGGACATTAAATGTACTGCTTATTTACTACTTATTTATAGACTTTGAACACATGAGAAGAAGGAGCAGGTGGTACAGGGAAAAAGAAAGTATTCTAAGGAGGAGGAAGAGAAGGAAGAAGGGTCTAGAAAGTGTAAACAGTTGTGGATCTCACATGAAAGTCAGTTACCTGTGAGTATACAGATTTCTTGAAGAGTATTAGGAGACATTTACTCTGCCTTTGCAATTATCACATAACACAATGTAATATTTTAATTATTTACAAATGTAATGTCTTCTAATCCAAGGTCCCTTTGTATGGTAGTCTGTAGTTGTTGTGTTAAGGTTACAGTTTACCTGTTAAGTTGATTCCAGTTTTCTCTCAGAGGAAACTCATAGGTTTGAAAGCTTGACTCTTCTATCTCAAATTAGTGGCACTGTTTTAAAATATTTATATATATTTTATAGGTTAAAAATAGTCCAATCACTACAATAATGTATCATATGGCATTACATCAGTCTCTCCATTCCCCATACCCCCTTCACAGTGTGATATCTTCATCTTCCTAGAATTTATTACTTTATGATATTTATCCTTTCATTTGCTCATTGGTTTTTCTACCTCTGGAAGAGTGAGAGCGGGAATTCTATATTCCCAACATATAATAGGTACTCAGTAAATAGTTAATTATTGAATGAAGGAGTCCAGTACCCATCTATAGTTTTGACAAAAAATATGAAGTGAGGCAATAAAATACCTTCAATTCTTAGGAAGCCAATATTATTGAATATTGAGTTTAATAGAATTTATTGTGTCCATATCAGGAAAGCACTTTGAACTATTGGAAGGCTATTAGTGTAGAACTGTGGCCTCTTTATAAATAACAGTACTTATAAAAACTAGGGGTCGCCATGTAACTTATTTACTTTTCTTAGATAATGTTCATATTTATCTTTTTTTCCTCTTTCTCTCCCCCCCCCCCATTTAAATTCAAGTTAGTTAACATAGAGAGTATTACTACTTTCAGGGGTAGAATTAGTGATTCATCAGTGGCATATAATACCCAGTGCTCGTTATATCAAGTGCCCTCCTTAATGCCCATCACCCAGTTACCCCATCCTCACCCACCTCCCCTCCAGCACATATTTATCTTTATGCATACATTATTCAGTATCAGAGGAGAATAATATTTTCTGGAGAACTATTTAAAGATCTTATTTTTCAGTAAGGTTTCATGTACAATTTATGGTTTATGTTATATTCATCCAAGTATTCGTTTATTTAATAAAAACGGCTGTTATTGTTCTTTCAATAGATATGGTATTGGACAACATGATAGCCTCTGGCCAATTGGATGAGTCTATAAGAGAGAATGTCAGAGAAGCTCTTTTGAAGAGACATCATCATCAGAATGAGAAAAGATTCACCAGTCGGATTCCCCTTGTTCGATCTTTTGCAGATATAGGCAAGAAACATTCTGACCCTCACTTGCTTGAAAGGAATGGTGAGATAAGTTGTGGCATCCAGTTTTGCTAACACTTCTACTCTAACAGCATTCCAGTGTACTACAATTAGTATTTGGGGGCAGAAAGATATTTTTTCCAGATAATTCTGTAGGTCATTTTATTATCACTTTTATTCTTTTTAAAAAGATAATCATGTTATTTTTGTACTTAAAAATATCATTTCTAAAATATCATTCTTTATAACATGACAGTTAATCTGTAGAAATCATTCAGATGAAAAAATTAAGTATTCACTCTGTTATAATGACACATTTACCACTATAGCCAATTCTGAATTACTTCTTGCTTTTTTGTTTTTGTCAAGAATACTTGAATAATTGATTAAGGAGGCATAAATTATGATCCGTAAGTTTAATCTTCTTAAAATTCTAAGTCTTGGATTTGAACCTTAGATTTTTCATAGTGATTTTTTTTGTTTGTTTTCCTAATATACTTTATTTGCTGGGCATAAATAAATGTTTTGGGGTTGGTTTGATGATTTGACTGCCCTTTTTTTGATCACTTTGTGTAAGGTTTTTATGGATGATTTGTTCTTAACCTAGGGATGACCTCCCTGATGTCTTCCAAACCATTGAGAATGGCACAGACCCACATTTTCCAGCTCTGCACTTTCACAGTCTAGCAGTGAATTATGTGGGACCTGGTGGCTTATGTGGGGATACAGTGTTCTTGTAGCCATTCACCTCTGTGACTGTTTCAAGGCTGGCACACCTGGAGGCGCTGCCTTTTCTCTTTTTAAAGCAGAAGAATGCCTCACTGGTGTTCTATTTTGGCTCTCAAAGAGAGCTCTGATGACAGTGGCTCTGCAAAACCTGGGTACAAAGGCGTGGAGTTGGCTTATGAGGGTCCTTCTTGCCCCTAGCTGCTACCATTACTCAAGGATTAGAGTGAAGAGGGGGGATGATGGGCCACAGTGTCTATCTGCTCATCTTTTTTGTCCCTGCACTAATAGTATGGCTTTTAAGTATTCTATAAACAAACAGCCATTGGTGATGGGATGGGGTTTAATATATCTAAAGTGGACAGTAATCATCTTTTGCAGCTCAGTGTGACAAGAATTCTCAAGTCCATTTTCTTCTGAATATTTGACCATTAAAACTCCTTTTAATCTCTTTAAAATGATGCCTTTATGTATTTAAGTAACCTTAAGAATAAAGAAATCTCTTATGGACCTATGTTCAATTTAAAATCAAGCCATTGATGTCAAATTTTATGTCTTTTTCACCTTCATGTACTGTATATTCTCAGCTTTCCTGAAATGAGTTCATTTACTCAGAGAGACCCTGTTAAATCTTTATTCTTCATGTGGAGTGATTCCTGACTATTCCCTGATTGCTGTTTGTTTCCTTTTAGTCATAAGACAATGGCTGTTTTCTTTTAAATGCCATTTTAGCATGGGCATGTTATTTTTTTGTATTATAGTTGTAATTTAACAGTTTTTCTGCATATAGCTTTAGTTTTAACTAAATAGTAGTTGTTTATGGACTAAGGTTCATCTTTTTAATATTTCTGGAATCTCTTGAGCATGTGGCTTTGATAACTTAGATCATATGGGATTGATTGTCATAGTTCTCATGTTTTTCCTAAAATCAGTGTTATTCCACTAAGCTACACTTCTTAGAATACCAGGTGTTTGAAATATAAGTATGCACAACCTTTTGAAATATGCTAGACTTACTTCATTATTGCCATTGTTGGTGAGAAATATTTTATTATCTAGATAAGTTAGATTGTATATATTTAATATTATCTGCTGTATTAGAAATGGATGCGTATTTTAGGACACTTATTAATATCTTTAGAGAGCTGAAGAATATCCTTTCAAGTTGACACTATGTTTTTCTTTTTTAAAAAAATTCCTATAACTTGCCTTATGTTTTAAAATTTTACTCGAGAGCACTACCAGTAGCTGATGCTGTACTGACTAATAAAAAGAGTTGATACCAGTTTTAAGTTAGGAATTAATAGATGATGTAGACTTTTCTTGTGAGAGAGAATTATCTCTAGCGACTTGGTACAGTGTAGGAAAAATACACTAAATATAAGCTCTCAGTGCTTGTAAGTTTCGTTTAGGGTTTTATTTCTTAGATTTTTATATTACATTCTCATTTGCTGTTTATTGTTTATCAACTTTGCATTTGATTTTTTTCAAAAGCCACATTATTGGATATTCTAATTACTAACAGAATATTGCCCCCCATCATCTATCATTTGCATTGTTTCTTATTTTCTGTTTTGTTTTCTGGATACACCTTCAGGGAACTAAGTATAATTTAAGCAGCTTTTCATTGCCTTTCTAACATTTAAACATCTGATTGCCATGCTAACTCTGATAGCATGAATTTGAAATTAATTTTGGGCTTTAAAGCTTGCAGTTTACATTGTAAATTGATGTTATGTGTGTGTGTCTATTTGCCATCTGCAGTGAACTTTATCATTTTTCATTTATTTGTTTTATCTCAGGGGAAGGCCTTTCAGCCTCCCACCACTCTTTGCGAACAGGTCTGTCTGCCTCAAACCTTTCATTGAGAGGAGAATCGTCTTTATCTCTTCTTCTCAGTCATCTTCTTCCTTCTTCAAGAGCTGGAAGCCCTGCAGGCTCAAGGTGTACAACCCCAGTGCCCACCCCTCAAAACAGCCCTCCTTCCAGCCCTAGCGTCAGTCGCGTGACCTCCAGAAGTTCCCAACAGAGTCAGCTTCAGGCCCCAGAACTACTGGTTTCACCTGCCAGTGATGATATTCCCACAGTAGTAATTCATCCGCCCGAGGAAGATTTAGAAGCACTGAAAGGCCAGGAGCAGAAGAATGAGGATAATGTTGACATGACTTCAGGCAACTATTCAAATCCTCCATGTGTGGTGCTTTCTGCCTCTGGATCACTTGCACTTGGAATGCCTTTCAGCACAGAGCTTTAGCAGCATATGTAGATAATGCTTATAATTTATTTTGACTTCTGCATGTTTTTTTTTTTTTTTCCCTTTTTTAGTATATTGTAGAAAAGAAGTATTAAACATTTTTAAGTTATAAAAAGACTACAAAGAGGACTTTAAAGCCCTTTCAAAAATTTTCACTGAGATTTTATAGGTCAAAGGCATTTGAATGGTTCAGAAAAACATAGAAATTTTTATAAGTAATATTTTAATTTTCCATGATTTTTAAAAAATAGTGGCTTTTCTTCTTGTGCATTTCATTCATAGTATGAATGAACACATATTGGACATAAATTACAATGAGGTGATGTGTCTTTCAGCTACTGTTTGGTGCTTTTGTCCAAATAATGCAGTATATTTTAACCTTCCTAACACAAATAGGATTGAATGTTCTTTTCCTCCTTTTGTCTCTGAGAAGATCAAAGTTCTCTAATGGCTATCTGGAATCATCATTATTTTAAGACTAGTATATTTTGGGACTTTAGATTGTCCTCTGTTTAATGCCATATCTACTTTTAATCCAAATTGACCTTGAAATTTTCAAGACCAGAGATCCTGGAGTTGTGGCTAGGATATATTTTTGTCTGTGAAGTAGAAAAATTGTTTCTTAGTGCATAAAAGGTTTAATAATTCCTCTAAGTGTTATATGTTACAGTAATTTTGCTTCTTTATAATATATTAATTATATGTACATTTAAACATGTATATCTTTCCACTCAATTCATATAAAGTAGTATTTAGTGACTATTTTACTGACAGCTCAGCGTCAGTGTGACATATAAATGCTAGCTAGTGGTTTTAATCATATAAGTATTATTACCTTTCTTCATAATACTGATAACATGTAACACTTCATTGGCAGCTTATGTTTATTACCCTGTTAGCCTATTTAATGTGTATAAAAATTTGTGTGAGTTAGGTGGATACACCCATTTTCAGAAACTCAGAAAAGTGAAGGTAACTTCTCCCTGGATCATACAACTAGTAAGTGATAGCCTAAGTGCTCTGATAAAATCCTCAAGGTCCTACCACTATATGACAAACTTCTTCTCTGTATTGAATTTCTCCAAACATACCAAGTTGCCAAAGAAATACATACTTTTGGAAGTAAAAAATGAAAATACGGTGGGTAAATCATTGTAACATTAATTATGACCATATCATAGCTTCCATTGTTTTATAGTTTGTTCTACACGCAGTGTTTTGGTTTTTTTTTTTTTAAGATTTTATTTATTTTTTCATGAGAGACAGAGAGAGAGAGGGAGGGGTAGAGGGAGAAGCAGGCTCCCAAGGAGCAGGGAGCCCGATGCAGGACTTGATCCCAGGACCCTGGGATCATGACCTGAGCCAAAGGCAGATGCTTAACCATCTGAGCCACCCAGGGGCTCTACACGCAGTGTTACTACTTTTCAAATATATTTATAATTTTCCTAAGAATTTGATGAGGTTCATGTTAATCCCTATTTTACAAATGAAGAAAACTAAGATTTATTAAGATCATGCCATAAATGACCACAGCAAGGAGTTGAACTCAGATCTATCCACAGCAAAATCTACAGTATATTTCACTGTAGATTTTAGTACCTCGTGGAAAATGTATAGTATAGTAATGAGGTAACTGGATAAAAAGGAAGAAATACCTAGAATTATTTACTCAGAAGTAATCAACAGTCTTAATTAAAAAGAACCAGCAAGACTTACTATTTTTCCTTGAAACAGATGTGATTTTAAAGTTAATTCCTTGCATTTGTTTTTACTTATGTCATAGCAGTAATACTGAACATTTCTTGTTTTACCAGCTTCCATGAGGGATTATAAATTTTACATAGGAACTAGGAGATGACATATGGGTTCACAGTAGCTTGTTAGGCCATGTTGTTAAGGAGTTAAAAGTAGCAGTTAACTGAAAATTGAAAAACAGTATTAAGCTTTTTTTCTCCTCTGCCATAAGTATGCTATGAGATTTAAAGAAAAGAAATTAGAATGGAGGGAAGAGAGGGACTTTCTAAAGACAAGAAAAAGCCCATAATTACTGTTTAAGAAGACATCTATAGAAGGTATGTAATTAAAATAAGAGGAACAGCTATATGTTATTCCCTGGTTTAATTACCTTTGGTGCTTAAAGCACCTAGAAACCCTGGTTGAGGTGTTTGTTTTTTTTTTTCCTGGTTGAGTTTTCTTGAAGTCTGATGTTATGTTACAGGAGGAAAGTGGCCTTAGCATCATTTTGGAGAGACTAATGTTACAGATTTTGTGTCATGGGATCATGATTTGTGCATAGCCATAGTAAAAAAGAAAGTGGTGTTTCCTATTATGTTTTGGAGAATAATTACATGTAAAAGAGTTAAGCTTAGTTTTAGTATTTGTAGCTATCTCCTGACTCCCTGTTTTTCAACCTTGGCACTGTTGACATTTTGGGCTGGACACCCAAAGTCATAAGGGGCTATCCTGTGCATTGTAGGATGTTTGACAGCATCCCTGGCCTCTTCACTAGCTGCCAGTAGCACTCCCTAGTTGTGGCAACTAAAAATGTCCCTCCATATTGCCAGAACGTTCTCTTTGTGCACCACTGCTCCAACTACTATTTTCAAACTTAGGGTGGTGGAAGACTCTGGTATCTTTGATTTCTCTTTCTCTAGATAATGCTATTGTGAGAAAAATTGTAAGGGTAAAACAATAGATTTACCAAAGTATGATTTTTAAATCCCAGTATTGATTTTATATATACAGACATTGTTTTTTCTTAAAGCAAAGAAGTACAGTCTTTCTGAGTTATCTGTGCTAGTGATAGTTTTAATTTTGGGGAATTTACTCATTTAATTCTGAGCACCAGGATTTATTGTACAAGCAGGGAGACTTCCTTTACTGATTGAGATACAGCTTTAACTTAGCTGAGATTGGGAAGGACTACTTAGAGAAGATAATGATGAAAAACTCTAACGTACACTTTGCATGCCAGTTCCAATAGGTTTAGGATGACCAGTTAGCCAAATGACTTCAGATCCTACTCTAACTTTATCAGTATTGAGTTTCCACATCATTTCTTCTTCCCACTCCCACTATATCCTTATATTCCCCCCAGAGTCTTCATTCTACTCTTCTCTCCAAAATCTGGGGGCTGAGGCTGTTCTAGGAAATTGCATATGTATTCTTTTGATTATACATCTGCGGATTGAACACATTTAGTAGTTATATCTATTGATGGTCACTTGCACTTGACACAAAGATCTTAATGATACTCTTCATTTTCTTGTGTGGAAGTCAGTGGAAGCTGCTGAAAAATACTGGTTAGCCTTTTTTTTTTACCCCCTACTTGGACATGTATTTTAATAAAGGAATGGACTCCATTCTGGAAGTTTAGAGACAGAGATCAAAGAAGAGGCTCATAGTAACTGCTCTGCTAAGCTAAGGTGGTGAGAAATGAGATAAGTTCTGGCACATAGTTTTTATTTCAGAATTGTTTAACACTTCCAGAACATCTAGCTAAATAGTTTGCATATCCTTTTTTTTTTTTTTTTTTTTT